TTAAAACTAAATAGCAATTTGTACTTACGCTTCGTTCCTAAATACACTGACTATATTTTTACCACTTGCTTTAATTTTATTTTAAAACTGTATATACTTTCATTAATTTCTTTTTATACAAAGTTTTTTTTTGAGGGAATATCTCTCACTTGTATAGGAAGACCTTACTCATGTAAGGAAGAAAAGCTTTCGTATGATGAGGGTCTGAGTCTTTGGATTGAGATTGAGCGGGACATTGATATCTGTAGATCTATTGATGTGATTTTCGCGGTGGCCATTTTGGACGAGGGCTTGTTTTAAACAAAAGAGCTCAGCGAGTATACTTACATCATCGCAAAGGCGTATTGCTCTGGAGACAAGTGTATTAATGAATGAATTAATTTGTGAATATGGATGATAAGAGCTGGCATGCAAGTAACAATTGATATGTGTGGGTTTTCGATAAAAAGGGTAATGAAAATGACGAATATATCGCCAAATGACGAATGTATCGTCAACATATCTTAGCCAACATGTCGGCTTGAGCATTGATGTGGATAGTGCTCGGGTGTCCAAGTCTTCCATAAAGATATTGGCAATTACTGGAGATATTGGGGAGCCCATTCTTCTTCTTCTTCAGATGCAAATCCACTAATGGATGTTAGCGATCACATTTTCCATTAACTCTCTATTTCTTGCAATATGTATCAGAGATTGTATGTCGTTAATCCCTGTCCATTGCCTTATGTTTCGGAGCCAGGACATTTTCTTGCGTCCCATTCCTCTCTTGCCTTCAATTTTACCCTCGATTATAAGTTGGAGGAACTGGTATTTTTCATTTCGCATGATGTGACCTAGATACGCCGTTTTCCTTTTCTTGATGGTTTCGAAAAGTTGGCGTTCTTGGTTTATTCTTTTAAAGACATCTATATTTGTGATTTTCGCTGTCCATGGTATTTTTAGGATACGGCGATAAAGCCACATTTCGAAAGCTTCCAATCTGTTTATATCCCTCGTTTTGAGTGTCCAGCCCTCTACGCCATATAGCAGCACTGACCATACGTAGCACTTAGTAAACCTTAGTCTCAGTTGAAGATCGAACTCAGAACAAGTCAGTACCTTCTTGAATTTTACGAAAGCTTGTCGAGCTTGCTCAATGCGACATTTTACTTCCCTGTCCGATGCCCAGTCTTCAAAAAGCCACGATCCCAGGTATTTAAATTTACTCACTCTTTCTATGGATTTACTATTCAGTGTTATGGTGGAGTTTTCAAATGCATCCAAGTTTCTGGAGATGATCATGAATTTGGTCTTTTTGGTATTAATCTCTAGTCCCATTCGCTCACTGTATTCTCCGATTATAGTGACAAGTTGTTGAAGATCGACTATGTTGTCACAAATTAAGACACCATCATCAGCATATCGTATGTTGTTGATCAATACTCCATTCACCTTGATTCCCATCTCTGCATCCTCCAAAGACTCTTGAAATATGGCTTCTGAATAAATGTTAAATAAAAGAGGGGAAAGCACACATCCCTGTCGAACGCCTCTTCTTATATGTATGGGCTTAGATATAGAATTGTCTATTTTTAGCTGTGCCGTTTGATGCCAGTACAAGTTTTCAATGCATCTTATGTCTTTTTGGTCTATATCAACTTTCTTGAGAATCTGCATTAACTTGTGGTGTTGGACACGATCAAACGCTTTTTTGTAATCTAAAAAGCATAGGAACACATCCTTCCTCTGATCGTAACAATTTTGGACCAGTACCTGTGTTGCTACTATTGCTTCTCGTGTTCCTAAACCTTGCCTAAACCCGAACTGGGAATCACTGATGTCCCATTCACATTTTTTGTATAATCTTTGATGTAGTATTTTTAAGAATATCTTTAAAGTGTGACTCATCAGGCTAATGAGTCTGTGATCCTCACATCTTTTTGCATTGACTTTCTTGGGCAGGGGAATAAAGGTAGAGCGTAACCACTGTTGAGGATAGCAGCCAGTTTCATAAATTAAATTAAATATTTTGTGTAGTGCTGAAATTCCCCTTTCATCTAGTAATTTGAGTATTTCTGACGGGATCTCATCTGGTCCAGGTGCTTTATTGTTTTTTGAATTTAATATTGCTTTTTCTATCTCCTCTTTGGTGATTGAAGGGCCAGTCAGCTGGTCGTCTGTATAAACTTCACTCATGGGTCTTTCGTCATGGAAGAGCTCCTGGATATAATTTTCCCATATATCAATTTTCTCCTTTTCACCCAGCACTATCTGGTTATCCTGATTAACTATGGTAGTTGGTCTTCGTTTTCTGTATATTCCAGCAGTCTCCTTAAGCTTTTTATGTAAATTACGGTCGTCGTGTTGTCTTTGTAAATGTTCTAGATCGATACATTGTTGCTTAAGCCATTCATTTTTTGCTATTCTTATTTTTGCTTCTATTTGCCTGTTAATGTTTTCATACATATTGCTGCCATCTTTGTTATTCTTGTGTCTTCGTCGTTCTTCCATTAGTAATAGTATTTCTTCTGTCATCCATTTTTGCTTCTTGTTATTTCGTTTGTACCCTAAGTTGTTTTTCATGATGTCTGTTACAGCACTTGTAATCGTATTCCATGTTGGTGTTATATCTTCGGTAATGTTTGTCGTTAATATTTGAATTTGTGCGTTTATTTCATTGCTTATTTTTGCTTGTATCACTGGGTCTTTCAGTTTATCCAGTGCTATCTGTTGTTGAGTGGGGAGCCCATTGGGGCACCATTTATTTGTTTGTATAATTGATTTTGGAAGATGAAATACGTGTTGGACATACAATATTTAATGAGAGATAAGTGGTCTTGCTGGATACTCTAATTAGTTTTCAGAATGTTTAGAGTTTCGTCTATAGGAATATTTGTAAAGAGTGAAACGATATCGAAATTTACTAGAATGTCTGACGGTGAGATACGGTATCGTTTAAGAAGTTTGATGAAATGAAAGAGTTTTTGACGAAGGATGAAGCATATTTGACGAAAGGTTGTAGGGTTCTGGCCAAATACTTGGCCAATGGTTGTGTAGGGCAGTTGTATGCACTGACAATGGGACGTAGAGGAATATCGGGTTTGTAAATTTTGGGTAGGCCATATATTCGAGGTGTTCTGGAAGCCTTTTCTTCCGGCAAGACCCCTTATATCTCATTAACCATTGTATGTTCAAAACCTATTTCATCATTCAAAAATAAATGGTACAGAAAATAAATGGTGCCCCAATGGGTTCCCCACTATCTCCAGTAATTGCCCATATCTTTATGGAAGACTTCGAGACCCGAGCACTATCCACATCAATGCTCAAACCCACAGGTTGGCTACGATATGTTGACCGGACATTCGTCATTAAGCCCCATAACAGCGATGATATGGTGTCTTTTCAAACCCATTTGAATGGTATACATGCTAGTATCCAGTTCACGATGGAGATTGAAACTAATTCATCCCTATTGATCTCAAGGTTTTCATTACTCTATTTATCGAAAGTCCACACAGAGCAGTCGTTACTTGCATGCCAGCTCTCATCATCCACTTTCAAAAGTTAATTCAGTCATTAATAGTCTTGTCTACAGATTCATACGCCTTTGCGATGATGCAAGTAGACCCCCTAACTCTCTTGTTTAAAACAAGCCATCATCCAAAACGGCTACCGCGAAAATCACATCAATAGGAACATCCAAAGACATCAATCTCCCACACAATCTCAATCCAAAGACTCAGACCCTCATCATACGAAAGCTTTTCTTTCTTACATCAAAGATGAATAAAAACAATATTTACCCCCCAACAAAAACTTTCAACTCTTGTCCGATCAATCAAACACAACATTTGAAATAAACAACACGAAGTTTATGAAATCTCGAATACTTATTCCTCCAGTTGGTAAGATTTTTACTTATTTGCTTTTCTATGTATTACTTCGTATGTATATGTTTGTTCCAAAAAGGTAAAAAACATTTAAAAAGCGTAAACTTACCGAACAAAATAGTTCTAGTGTTAGAAAATGCTCCAACAAATTCTCGTGGTTACGATGTAGACGACATAATATTAATTTTTTCTCCCTCCTAATGTAACGAGAGCAACCGATAGACCAAGGAGTGATCGAAAAAATGATACAGGTATAAATTTGTTTCTGAAATTCTGCGACATTCGGAGAGTGAAGATAAAGCACTTTTAGAAGTCATCAACAAGATAATTATTAAGGACGTGATCTATATATTAGCTACAACGTTTCAGGAAATGCCCTTTCAACGTTTATTAAATCTTGAAGAAATCTTTGATCAGATGTTGAGAATCTCAAATATTGCAGAGACTGAACAAGAAGAAAACAAATTAATTCTAAAAAACCTTTAAAAGTTTTTCTGCTATAACCAGAAATAGAACAAATTGGATGATAGATATGAGGATCTCCTTGAAAATTGAATTTCTGAATGATGATGAAACCATAGGTTTAGCAACCAAAGAACTACATAATGTATTATGAGAAGACTAGTGGTGGTGAAGAGGATAAAATGATTTTTCATGAAAAAGCCAAAAATTAATTAAAAATTGAATTAAAATACATTGCATTACATGCATTACACTATAAATGCACTTTTAAAATTTGCCTCAATACACACGTTTACTGTTATCGCGAAAACCATAAATGAAACTAATGTTAACCCTTTATAGGAAGCTTTTCTTCCTTACATCAAAGGTGTCGTCACTGACAAAATCGACAAAATTCTTAAATCAAGAGGAATAAAAACAATATTTACCCCCAAAAAAAAAACTTTCAACTCTTGTCCGATCAATCAAACACAACATTTGAAATAAACAACACAAAGTTTATGAAATTCCTTGTGCAGACTGCCATCGATCCTATATAGGCCAAACAAATCGTAGAATCCAAAATAGGATTTATGAACATTCCATTTCTGTTCGCAATTCGCTTGTTTTGTTATTTTTGTGATCCGGTTCTAGAGGAAATATTCACAAAAAAATACGACACATGTTCTCAGTTCACACTTTATTGCTTCTATAACTTACTTGAACGTTAAACATATAAAAATAACACCATGCAAAAAAAGTAAAAAAAGCATGCAAAAATCTAAAAAAAAAATGAATGAAAAATGGTTGTTAAGGAGATTGGGAATTATATTTTACTGAGATGAATTGATTTTCTGGAATCGATGCGGTCTAATTTAGAATCCCTAAAACAAAAATTTAATCAAAAATTTATTTAAAAAAAAATATGGGTATTGGATGGAGCGTTAATAAGTTAAAATATGGTAGAAACGTATTTTTACATACAAATACTTCTTATATTCACTTTATATTATTCCAATCGATTTGTTATTATTGGAGCAACAATAATCTGTAATTTTTTCTTTCATAAAATCTGCATACTATGACTCATTATGCATTTCATACTAGTACATGATTAAAATTGGTATTTGAAATTATAATCTTTTTATTAATTTACCCAAAAATATATTTACATTAATTACAGTTAAGTTATCAAAGAAAATTTTACAAAAAATAGTTTTTATTTGGTCTTTTTTTTGTTTATCGACAATAAACTAACGTCTGCTGACCAAAATCATAATAGTTCCATACAAAAAATCGCCACTTTATGCCCCGATATTAATGAACCATCCTATACGAATAAAAAAATATAAAATCTTTAAAATTATGCAACTGCCAATTATTAAAACAGCATTATTTCTACTAAACTACTACTCTGTCCAAATATTTTACATCCCGCAACCGCATGCAAATTTAGAAAATATATATTAGATAATTCATAAATAAATTATTGACGAAAAAAATCAGAACATTGTTTTTTTATACTTCTCTCGTAGATTTTTAATCGAAAACTAAATGAAAATAATACATTCAAATGTCTACTGATCAACCTGAGGGAACAAGAAATGCGCATAAACCATCTTACTAAGAACGAAAAAATGCGCATCTGGATGGGTAAACCTCTGCACGGGCGACATCCGAATGAAGTCAGTCAAGACTATGTCGACAATATAGCGTCGAACTATTGGCTGACATCAGGAAAGATGTTCCCTGAAACAGAAGGTTCATTACTCGCAATTCAGGATCAGGTTATACCAACCAAAAATTACCTGAAATATATTGTCAAAGACTCTCAGGTCCAAAACGTTAAATGCCGATATATATGTCAAGCCCAAGAAACGATCCAACATCTTACCGGAGGCTGCCAGGCATTTGCTGCAACTGAATGTAAGGAACGGCATGACTCAGTAGGGAAGATCCTCCATCAAGAGATAGCTATTAAACTGGGAGTTCTACAAACAAACCATCTCCCATATTATCAATACGTTCCAGAGAGTATGCTTGAGAATGACAACTACAAGCTATACTGGGATCGTACTGTGCGCACAGACCAAACTGTAGCACATAATAGACCAGATCTCGTGCTAGTTAATAAACTAACAAGACAAACAACTCTAATCGATGTGGCGATACCTAACAACAATAATCTGCGTGTTAAGTACAACGAAAAGATCGCCAAGTACAGAGATCTGGAAATACAAATAAGAAGACAATGGAGAATGGAAAGTACCCAGACGATACCTATTATTCTTTCTACCACTGGAGTCATTCCGAAGAACATCCTAGAAAACATAAAAAAGCTGGGTCTAAATGAACATCTATATAAGGTCATGCAGAAAGCTGTGCTACTTTCGACGTCCAGATGCGTGCGAAAATTTTTAGGAGATACACCGACGTACCAAGTCACCTAGGACTCGATAACATGGAAAGAGTCCCACCAGAGCTCAATCCTTTTGATACCGTAGGTATCTGGGATGAGTGAATTTTCCCCTTAGGGAGTGTGAGCCGTATGGCTAAATCTGGATAAGGCGATCAAACTAGGTGAAAATAAAAACTTTTCACAATAACTATCAAAAAAAGACTGGAGGGTAAGTTAGACTTCTATCAGCCCAGAGAACAAGCTGAATTTAGAACGGGATGAGGAACTAACTACAATTTACTAATAAAAATAAAATAAAGAACTTGACAGAAAAGTTTGCAGAATACAACAAACCGTCGGCACTGATATTCTACACTACGGACTACGAGAAAGCGTTCGGTACTATAAGCCAGCGGAAATGTTAAAAGCATTGACAAAATATCGAATAGACCTACACTAACATAATCCAACATATCTACCAAAATGTCAAGCTATACTATATCTCCAAAGCTATTCATGATACTTTTAGAGCATACTGTAAGAGTATACAGATCTGCAGGAATATGGTATTAACATAAATGGAGAGAAGATGTCATTTGAGATTCGTACATGACATCATCCTTAAAGCTGATCGTATGGATGATGCAACAATAATGTTGGAAAAACTGTCACGCTTCTTTGGAGGTCGGACTACAGAATAACATAAGCAAGATGCAAAAGTGGAGGCCAAAACAAAAAGCACTGCGGAGCAGAGACTGTCCTCCAACCAGATGGACTGAAGAGTATTGGCAGTAACTGGATGCAAGCCGCATACGACAGAGGCAGATGGAAAGAGCTGAGGGAGAATGTCCAGCTGTAGATATGTACTGGTTAATGATGATGTATACCATAATCACAAAAAATTTTATTTAAAAAAACCTTTAAAAAAGGTATATATATTTTAAAAGGCACTCTCGGGCTACATTAGAGAACAAAAAATTTATTAAAAATCCTTTGTAAAAGCTATATATTTAAAAGACCAAATAGGCTAAGTTAGACAAAACGTTTTCGGAATCCATATTCCATCATCAGTGTCCTAGAAAATATATAACCACTTAATTAAAAAGAACATGAGGTTTAAATCTTGACTAAGGTTAATGAACAAAAAAGGATCCATTTATAAAAATGTATTATAAATTGAAAAAATTAAAAAACGAAAAATTACATATCCTAAAAGTAAGTTAACATATACAGAAATATTGGGGGAAGTGAAGAATTTCAAATCAGTACAAAATAAAAGAAAAGAGAGACAGTGATATAGATGTTACAGAATAGTTAAAAGGTACACATCATATATTGAAACGTGGCAGATGAGAAATATCGTATGTACTAAATGTACAACTATTATACTGTAGGTAGGCGCTTATCATCGGCCACGTTACAATATGTGAGATGTATAGATAAGGTAGAAGACCGGAAGGATGACGCAACAGTAAAATAAAAGGAACTTAGTTAAATAAATAAATACAATATTATTGGTATTTTTAACATTTGAATGTTTCATTTCTATTATAGTTTCACCCTAATTACAGAAGTATACAAAGTATGTTCTTAATTGCTTATGAAGTGGATTTTAAAATATTCATTTTTTGATTATAAATACTTGAATATTTGTTAAGTTATTGATTCATTGACAATTTGAAAATTGATAGTAGTTTCAGTAAAACTTTTTGTTCTACGCATACAACATATTATTAACCAGGATCATTAAGTATGCTCATTTTTGTTTAAGGTTCAAAGGCGTCTTTTTCTAACAGTAATGTCGATTGTGAATATTCCTTTAGGAAACTGATAGACTGAAGAGAAACGTAGGCGACCTATTTAAGTTTCTAACTACGAAGAAGACACAAATACGTAGACTGATAAAAAATGACAAAAAGATTGTGTAACTGTTTTGTTGTGGCATGTCTGAGTTATATATGTGTTTGTATGGCATTAAGCTACAATTGATTGTAATCAAAATTACATGTTTAAACAAAAAAATTTTGTTTAGATTTCCACACCGAAAATTGTTTTCAAAAAGTTCTTAAATAATCTTCGAAATCAAACGTCAAATTTTTTAGTTAAAAATGTAATTGTCATCACAATCGATTGTCGCTTAATCCCATATAAATACAATACTTAAAAATTGAAATAACTTTCTCTGTCATCTAAGCATATCACTAAAATGTATGATAACCAAAGATTTACAAAAACAATTGCCCTAATCAGCACTACATTTATATCTTATATATTACGCCGCAATAAACCTAATTACAAAAAATGTTTCTGTATAATATGAGATCTTCAAATTTTAAAGGTTTACATATAGTTGACAGACAGGAAGTTGTTTCCACTATCTAAGGTAGATGGCGCCACTCCGTGGCTTCCTACCTACCATTATTTGATGGCAGGAGCACAAACTTTTAGATTATGACAGACTTTTAGATAGACTGGCAGGAAAAAAAATTTCATAACCAAATCGACCACAACAAATTTATAGAAACTATCTCGAAGATCCAAGTATGACAGTTAAGGAAAGTAAGGTACTAAAAATAAACTTGTTAGGTAAATATGCCAATGTTTGCTGCAGTAGCTTTAACTACGTATTTTAAAAGCTAAATAAAAAAATAATAGCAAATATTTTATCCTAAGTCAGGGTTCGTTGGAATTGATAGTTATTGGAGATTTGCAGGATGGAAATAGTATTAATCTATGATTTTGTATGAGTTTACTAGAGGGTTTATCCAAATCTATGAATGTTTCTACATTTTCTTCAAAAATTACCGTCTAGAATAAGTATGAAGAAAATTCCTTATGTAATAGTTTACCAATTGAAAAATTGAAAATTCTTTAAAAAAACAAAATGGCGTACATTTGAAAAAAATTGAGTTATTTTCGACTTTTTTCAGTCACAACAATTTTATTATTACTTGTGTTGGTCAAATTGTAGGAAATTATAAAGAAAACCATAACAATCAAAATGCATCAAGCTTTATTAAAATCGACCGGCTAGGCGGACAGTTAATCTCCAGATCTATTCGGTCGATTTTAAAAACCTTGATGAATTTTGTTTGTTTTGGTTATCTCTATGAGTTTACCACAATTTGACTTTATGTGACTGAAAAAAGTCGAAAAAATATCAACTTTTAACAATTTTTTTCAGATGTCCGCCATTTTGTTTGATTTTTAAATCACGTAATCTTTTTTAAAACCCTTCTCCAATTTTATATTTCAGATTTACCGCTCCCGAGATTAACTGCCCGCCAATAAGTAGTAATAATTGTTGGACGATCATTTTTTGGCGCCATCTTTAAAATACAGTAACAATGAAAAAAAATAGAAAATTTTTTTTAACTTTCAAAAGTTGTATAATAATATAAAAAAAAGTTTGATTGCCGTGTATAATAGATAAGATACAAATAAAAATAGGTAAAAAATGTGTCATTTTTAGCATTATAGACGGTA